TGTGTGTGTGTGTGTGTGTGTGTGTGTGTGTGTGTGTGTGTCTAGGATCTACTCCCACCGCGACATTTCTTTTCGCTGCTCTCTCCGCAGTATCGGGGACTCTAGCTAGAGTTTGCAGTATTCGAAAAGCCGCCGCTCGTGTATCCCGGTTTAAGTGCCTGGAGCCTGCCCGCTTCCAAAAGTGCTTAGAAATGGTCTTTTGGAGCAAATGTTTTGGTGACTCAACGCCCGCTGTTTCTCTGTAATAATCCATATAAATAGATTAACATGCTCAGGTTCGCCGGGGCCGGTGCGGCTGGTCGGGATTCTGCTGCGCTATTGCAAAGGGAATCAATGAAAACCAAAGCTAAGTCCAGGAGAAGGCTTGCGGCGGTGGCGGCGGCAACGCGGCAGCCCCGTGCTCTCGGGGGCTTGCAGTGCACCTCCCCGACCGACCTTGAACTCTGACGAGTCTTTCCTCCGGCCCCCCAACCCCCACCCCGTCGACACCCCTCAGTGACTGGGTTTCTGCTTTGACGTTCGGCTCTTTGCCTCCAGAGTCCAAAACGTCAGCAGAATTGACGCTGGAAAAGAAGTGTGCACACTGCTCTGGCTTTGCGATCGAACTTTGCGAATGCGGCTGTCCCGGGCCCCGAAGCTGAGGCCGGTCCCTGGGTTTGTAAAACTCGGAACAAATCGAAAGAACAGTCCACTTTGGTGGAGCCCTGCGGCTCGCCCTGGAGGGGCGAAGAGCCAGTCATTCCGATTTTAGTTGTGCCCTTTCATACTTGTACACAGGTGGGAGTTCTGAGGAAGGCCGTGGAGGTGACTCTGATGTATTTCAAGTATTATTTGAGCACAATCAATCTTTCTGTTTACTCCAACTCCTGAGAGCCAGGTTAGTAAATGCGGAATTATCTGTTCTGGAACAGAAGAAAAATCTTAGTCGCCTGCGGATCACATGCCTTAAAAAAAAAACACAAATAAATGCACAACTATAGAAAAATCATAATTTTAACTCCCCCCTTCCTTGCTTTTGCAGGAATTCGCCTTGAATTAGATTACTGATATTGTGAATCAGCTTAACTAATATCAAAGACAGCTCCCCCACTTTTGCCAAGTGCGGACACTCTTACAATATTAAACGAATGAAGTGTTTTTGAAAATTTCATTTCTCCTAAAGTGGATATTTCTCATAGGTAAAGGAACTTTTGATAAGATAGGAAGGTCTACCCTGCTCAACAGGATTTTCTTTTTAAACGAATTTAACTCCCTGGCATTGGATGTTGAACAATCTTTAGTCCCTTATAGTTTATTTAGGAGTTTAGGAGATTTGCAAACAATAGCCTCGTATTCCTGGCTCTCTCATTACACTCGGAAAACGTAAGAGCGACAAGGTCATTTCTTGGGAAAGAAAAAAAGTCCTGCATAGTGTGGACACATTTCTGAGTCCCGGGGATGGGGGCATTTGTGGTGTATAATTGTGATTTGCAGACACCTGATCCAGTAGGAGACTCAGAAACCATCGGGCACATGTGTTAACCAAGGCGTCTGGACTTAGCTGTATTTACTGAAATTACCACGTTGACTGGCATAATGGCAGTGAAAATGACTGTGACTTTAAGATATTTTGGAATATTTAAATATTTGTGAATATATCTGCTCATGCATAAATATATCTTTAATACAATTATTCAGTAAGAGATATACAGCAACACTTTGAATCACAAACGGTGGTGCTTTATACATTTTATGCCCTTTTGGTACAAGTATTTTTTTTTTTTTTTGGTATTCTTTTATCTTTTTGTAAACTACACAACAGTCGACTTAAAATGGGCTGCAATTTCCAGCTGTGTCCAGAGGGGGCGCCAAAAGCTCAGAAACTGTCTCAAACTCCGAGAAACTGCGGGGAAAACTTTGATGGTTGGTGGCAAGGCGCGGGGGAAGGTGGCGATGATGGTGGTGGTAGTGTGTTTCACTCAATCAGGACGGCTTTGGGGCTGAAATTTATCTCTGCAGGAATTTTCTATGCGATATTCCCACTCGTGCGGATCCATCTCAGAACAGCGTAGTTAGGAAAGCTTGGGTGATGTGTATCTACAAGGGAACTGGGCAGCAAAAAAGAGCGCTCAGATGCCTGACATCTCCATTCTGTCCAGAACTAGGAGACCGAGAGACTTAGAAGGTCCCCTGTCCCCAAAGTGAAAGAGTTGCCTGGTGTGCCAAGATCGGGCCAAATCGGGCGCGTGGGCACCGTCAATTCAGGAGTGGTTGGTCCTGTATTTCTTCAGGGGCCTCCGGCGCTCACTCCCCCACTTGACTTTCCTGGGTTGCGCTGACCCATCCTCCCCGTCCCAGGAAGACTCCCCGCAGTCCCGGGCCAGAGGACCTCAGCCAAAGTTAGAGGGAAAGGGACCCGCTCCCGATGTTCAGGTTACAGAGGGGAAACTGAGGCTCTTGGCTCATTTTTAGCCAGAACCTTTCGCCCAGAGCTAAATGTGCCGTGGTCCTCAATCGCATAGGAGTCAGAGGAAAAAGGGCGAAGGTCAAGACACGCGTCAGGCAACCGCCGGCCCTTCCCAACTTTCGCGATGTGCTTTTGGTACCGGCTCTTGAGCCAGCGCCGCGAGGTCTGCCGCCAGGAGTCGAGACACCGAGGTGCGAGCGAATCCCAAGGGGGGACCTTGAAAACCCGAGGTCTGGGATCCCCCCTTTTCCCTCTTGGAGGGTCCGGGCCGGCGCCGGGCTCAATTTCCCCAGCGGGGGCCGCCAGTCTCCCCTCCTAGAACACTCACGGACAGAGCCCAGAGCCCAGCGTTGGCGCGGGGCGAGTTTCGCGGGCTCCGGGGCTGCGCTGGGGGGTGGGGGTGGGGGCGGACGCGTTCCTTTTCCCTGGCGAATTAAGAGGCACAGCCTTCCCATCCCGAATTCTTTAGCAAAAGTGGGAAAGTTGTCTAAACCCATTTTCAACAGGGACGCATATCCTTAAAGAGCTGGACGCGGGTGAACCTCAGCGTCCCGCGAAGATATCAGCCCAGGGCAGTGTTATCTCTGGAGGTGATCAGTGGAGGGGATACCCCTTCTCTCTTCCAGTTTCCCCAGCCCCGTCCCCTTGAGGTAATCCCACAAGACCTCATTCCCTGGCCAGACGCTCAGGTTTCCGCGCCCTGGGCTTCCCACTGCTCCTTGTTCCTCGGTAATCAGTATTTTTCGCTGGACGTGGAGAATGTGGGTCCTTTGCTTTTCACGCGGGACCTGAGCTTCCTTTGGAAGGGAGTCGGCAGGTAAGCCGAGAGCAGGCGCTGGGCTGGATAGCAACAGCAAAGAGGAAAAGGAAACTACCAGATTGCTTTGGAGGTGCACAATAAATATCTGAACAAAGGTGACCTTTGGCCATTTTGCCCGTGTGTGCTCGTCCATCCCAGCCTCCGTACCTGTTATCAACACGTTCCCTGTAACGTATATTCCTGTAAATTTATTTATCCCCAAATAGGCGCCCTTTTTGGGGAGGTTGTCTAAATGCATTACTCAGAACTAGATAATCCCGACCACCATTCCCCCGAAACTGCAGGCGAGGAGGCGCATTTCACTCTTTTTTCTCTCTTTTCTCTTTTCCAAAGAAAGAAAGAAGAATTGGATGGGAGGTGTTGCAGGAGGGAGTGTGAACTGCCAATCTGCCCCTATTTGATTGATCTAGGTTCTAGGGAACGGATGGCTGAAACCCTGGCGGGCCCTGGGGATGAGGACCGGAGGAGCTGGCTGGTCGGGGAGCCACCGAGCCTCGGAGAGAAAAAGGAGGAGTGGGGGTGGGAAGCCTCAATTCCAACGGGACTGGACTCCCAAAGGGAATGCGCCCTTTTTACACCCTTGGTTTTGCGGGGGGAAAAAAAAAATCTGTCCTTTAGTGGTGGTACCAGGGAGCCGCGCATCAATGGCTTCCCTAGAACACCCTGCGGTGAATTTCCTAGGCCAAGTCCTCCCCACTGCCCACCCCAACTTCCCTCTTTTTAGCTGAAGGTGTTCTTGCCTTGCCGATTTAAAAATAAAAATAAAACAAGCTCTCGGTGCAGCGGCGCCTCCGGAGCTGCCAAATTGGCCCGCCCCGACGGGGGCCTCACTTTAGCCCCCTGGGCTTTCCCCCACAGATCACAGATTGGAGCCCACACCTCCTGTCCCCTCCCATCATCACCTTTCAGTGTAGGGGCATTCAGACCCAGGAAGGGCACCGATCAAAGAGAGCTGAGGTTCTCAGAGCAGTGTTGTAGGTTTTTTTCTTTCTTTTTTTCTTTCTTTCTTAAAGGAGGGTGGGCTACAGCAAAGATTTTCTCCCCACCTGGGGGGACTCTAAGCAACTCTTCCCTTTAAGACGCCCTATTTTAGGGCGGGCGATTATTTTGGATCTTCATTTATCCGGGACAGTGTCGCTATCAACCCACGGAAAAGGAGGACGTGGTTTTGGGATAACAACGTCGATGTAACACAATTAAGACGAGTTATCTTGTTATCTCTCCTGCAGCCCTTTTATGTCTCCACGGGACCCCGGAAGCCCGCCAGCAGATTGCTTCTCCCTATAGCCTCCAACCCAGGGTTTCTTTCCCCCAGGACAGCTGAGCTTCTTTTGGCTGCCTGCTGGGCTCCACTTTGGTTTCTGAGCTGCAAGAGGGAGACGCCCCC